GGTTCTCACACTTCTCGAGCTTGTCCAGGACCCTTTGGATGGCATCCCGTTCCTCAGGCGTGTCAACTGCACCCCTCAGCTTGGTGTCATCTGCAAACTTGCTGAGGGTGCGCTCAATCCCATTGCCTATGTCATTGATGAAGACATTAAACAGTACTGGTCCCAGTACAGACCCCTGAGGGACACCACTTGTCACCCATCTCCATCTGGACATTAAGCCGTTGACCACTACCCTCTGGATGCGACCATCCAACCAATTCCTCACCCACTGAACAGTCCATCCATCAAATCCGGACCTCTCCAGTTTTGAGAGAAGGATGTTGTGGGGGACTGTGTCAAAGGCCTTACAGAGGTCCAGATAGACGACATCAGTAGCCCTTCCCATGTCCACTGATGTAGTCACTCCATCATAGAAGCCAATTTATTTATTAAAAGATTTGATTGCAAGAATTTAGAAAGGCTGCTGTTACCAATTGTGATTTACGTTTTTTGAATGTGTCACTGGAATATAGAACTCAATGTCTATTCCGTACAGTTGGAAAGACAAATATCTAAGGGTGAGAAGCTGCAAAGCATAAGGTTTTTTTTTGACAACTGCACTACCCCCCATCATTATGTATGTCTACATACATTGACCTTATATAACAAATTAAAACACAGTTGAAAACCTTTGAAAGTACTGAAATCAACAGAAGATTGGAAGGGGAGAAATGAGAACACTGTACGATAAATATGATAGAAGTGTGGCTCAAATATTGAATGAGTGTTTTGTCTCATTTTTCAATAAGGTTGATGAGAGCAGCATCAAGTGAAGGAGTAAAATGGTATTAATGTCTGTATTTTAAATAGAAGCAAAGCTTGAATTGCTTAATAAGACAAAATCAGGTATCCATATAGACTACTCTTAAAATATTTAATGAAGTGGTGCATGAAATCCTAAATTCAATAATGAGGATTTTTGGTTGAACTATAGATAGAATAGTGCCCTAAAGTATTGAAGAACAGCAATTATTATCTATGTTTAAATAAAAACAAATAATGCAGCCAACAACAGACCTGTTAACTTGATGTTAGTGCTCTGTGAAGTCTTAGAAAGTATTTTAAGGACAAAAATTAAGTATGTGGAAGAAAATATAAAGTGACTGTATATTAATGTCAAGTATCTCCCTATTTGGAAAATGATCATATACTGTATTATGATAGGTATGATGGGACAGGTTCTTATACTTCCCCTGTGAGAGCAGCATGGCTTGGCATCCATCTCAAGCATTTGTATACAAATGCATGCAGCACAGAAAACAAACAAGAAGAATTAGATATCCTTACACAGCTGTAGACTATGACATTATTGGGATTATAGAGGTCTGGTGGGATGTACTACATGACTGGTGTGCTGCAATGGATAGACATAGGCATTTCGAGACAGACTGGGGAGGCCAGCATGAGCCAACTGTAAAAGATGCTCTGCTGGCCTTGTTAGGTACAAGGGAGACATGGTTGGGGATGTGGGGGTGGACAGCAGCCTTGTCTGCAGCAACTATGAGATTGTGAGGTATAAAATCATGAGAGCAGTGATTTTTGGATTGGATTGGGGTGGGTGAGTGAGCGAATGAGTTTCTTGTAGGTTAGTTGATAAGGGACATTTGGGTTTTTGCTCTTCTTCGTTTTTCTACCACCCTCTGTTTAAGAAAATACCTGCTTTTGTGAGAATGGTGGTGATGTTGATACTGCCTCACCTGTTCTCTTTCTGTACTGCTATAGTTGGGACTGTGCCTTTCATGAAGGTTCCAGCTTTGTTTTATGTGATTGAGAGTAGATGGTTGGAAAAAACTCCATCTCAAATAAATAACCTTTTTGGAAGGTGGTGGAAAAGTTGTGTTTATTTCAGAAGGATAGAGCGTTTGGGATATGGAGAAGGCATGTAAAAATCTAGATGAATAAAGAAGACTGATATGGTAGCAAGCAGGTCATACATTGAAATAACTGCTTATCATGAAGAGGATAGTTAAAGCATCTGAAAGACATTGGTCACTTCGAGAAATGTAGTATGTAGTGACAAGATAATGTATAGGATGGGGCAGAATTCAGACTAACAATGGTCTGAGGTTATTTTCGGTTAAAATGAAACTGGTATGTTGTGTATCATGGGTTGTATAATATTCACTAGCTCAGGCCGTTTTTATTAATTTGAAAATGGGGAGGGAGTGGACAGGAACTTCAGCGTTATTTGAATGAAGTTATTTTAATTGTCTTATTTTCATTCATAATGAAATATGCTTTTGAGGGATGCTACCATGTTATTAGTATGTTATGACATAATTGAAACTGCTCTGTTAATTTGACTGTATTTTTTTTCTCCCTTGCCTTATTATTATTTTCTACTACCTCATGAAGGAGGCCTACTTCTTTAATTGCGGAGAAAATTTGAGTGCAAAAGGGATGACATACCTTACGAATTCACTATTTGATTACAGAAGTCCAGAAAATAATAGTATTCGTGCAGAATTTATATTGGATGCAGCTCATCATAAGGTCAGAGAATTAAATTTTTCTTAGAAAAAAATTTTCTAATGCTTTCTAATGGATTTCTAGTGATTATTCAGATCTGTGTACTATTAAAGGACTGATTTTCATTACTTTGTCATGTTTAATTGAATCTTACTTTGCAATGGCCAAAGAAAAAGTAAACCTGTTTGTGTTTTAAAATCAAAACCAAAACAAAAACATGTCCAAAAGAAACCTCAAACTCCCCTCCTGCCCCAAAAGCTGAACTAATGCCATAGTTTCCAAAAACACTAACTACAGAACACCTGCAGAGAGAAACAGAGATATGAGAGAATGCTAGCAAAAGGTCGAATACATACTTCTTTAAACCCAGCCAGTAAGTAGTTCATGGTCTTCAAACTAAGAAGTGCTTCTCTTGGGAACCAGATCTTGGGCAATGTTAATTTTATTGTCTGCGCGCTATATTTGTCTACTTAGAGGAAGTCTTGCTAATTCTGCCTTTGGCAGAGACAAATTTTCAGTCGCCGATAGTCCCTGTTGTGGTAAATTGTGCAGTAAAACTTTATTCCCTGATTGTCTGCAATTACTAAAGACTGGATGCGATGACCAAGGTGGTCCCTTCCAGCTGTGTTCATAGGTGGAGTTCTAGGCTTTGTGTTATTCTACAGGTAAGCCATTTACAATTTCGAATGTATCTACTTTCTTTTAAATTTAAATTTTACTATTTTCACCATTTTAGTACTACTGATGAAGAAGTGTAACCCTGAAGAATCCCATTAAAAATGAAATTAATTAGTGAAATCACAAGTATTTATATATATTCAAACACTTCCCATAGAGTGTTTTGGTTTTAAGCTTTACTTTTTCCTTGGCCTGTGCTTTTACGATTTGCCGATTTTTTGGCAAAAGGGGAAGCAAACTTGCTGTGTAATAGTGGATTATATTATGTATAAATCCCAATGATGGCATAAAGTCTTAGTAAGTGTCTTACTGTTTAAAGATAAAACCACAATATTCCTTAAATAAAAAAGCCAGAATTAATGAGCTTCAGTTTTCAGTGTATTTAATTAGGCAGATCTGTTGGATGCAAGAGGTTAAGCAAAGAATATTTACTCCATTAAAGCTACTAATTAACTAGATGTTATTGATGAGTTGGTCAGCATGTCCACTGGAATTATGGATGTGCCTTTGTGTGGCCTCAAATAGAAGTTACATTACCTATCAGAAAGGTGAATTCTTTGGGATAACCTCTGTCCTTTGTTTTGATAAGCCTTTCCATGTGGTGATGCACAAATCCAAACATGAATATATCTCTCTCATACCAACCTATCAGTTGGTAATCTTAAGATTCTTTCCTTATACAACGTTTTCTTTGTTTGCTTTGCTTTGTTGGTAGGAGACATACACAGAGATAGCTGGAATGCAGAGGTTTGGGGCTTTCTACATGGATTACTTGTACACAATGGAAAGCACCAGTGGCAAAGGTACCTTTTTTTCTTTGTTTACTCTTCTAAATAATAGAAACAAAGACTTTTCATGCCCAGCTGTTCCTTGACCAACTGTCCTCTAACTTACCTTAGGCTTACCATCAGGTTCATCGTTAAAATAGTTTCATCTTCACTGATGTGTTTGAGATTATCTGTTTTGGTTAGCTGTTGATTGTTGTTTTTCTTCCTTTTTTTTTTCCCTGCATAAGTAATCACTATGATATCTTTTATAGTCTGTTGCTAAACTGAAAATAATTCTCTTGTAGCAGTGGTGAAGTTCATAAAGTATGATGTCTTTTTGTTTTAAAGTTTTCTTTATTGACTTTGGGGGGAAAAAAAAATCTTTTGAGAAATGCTGGTTGAAGAATGAAGTTGATCATCCACTTGGTGCAGAAGATGAAAAGGGCTGTCGTTTTATCCTATGAAGAAAAATGCAAGGATGAGAGATAGTGTGGAAAATTAATCTTTAAATATACCTATCCGATCAATTTTGTGAGCAAATAATAGCCTAAACCATGCACACATAGATATTGGCTAATTCTAAGTAATTTTTGAGATTCCTAGCAATTCTTTTCTACATCTGAAACAATACAGTGGATTCAGTGCAGTAAGTATATCTACTTTTGAGAGTATCACAAAAGCCAGGACAAAGGAGTTAATATATCAGCAAGTAATAGGTATATATTTTTATACAGATATTCTTATCATGAACAGCGATGTGATTTCCCCCCATCCCTGGGAAGATTGTCATCTACAGCTGCTGTTCTGCAGTTTTATTGCCTAAATAATTCTTCCCTACCTGTGTATTTATTATCATGAACACTATTTCTGTGGACATCTATTGGGAACTCATCTGGGGTTTTTTTGCGCGTTTTTGTGTCTATGTAAGAGAGAAGTCTCGACTCCTAATGTTTTTGTTTTCTGGACTTGTTGGACATTAAGTATAATGAGTAGGAGTGGTATAATAAAAGGAGTAGGAAAGAAAAACTTCTAGTTTGGTTAGAGGATGGATCATGCAAAGCTTATAAAAAGAAATAAATGATTCTATTGCCTTCGATAGTAGAGGGATACACTAGGTAATTCAACAGTTCTTTCCTGGCTCTGAGGCTTTCCTCTCTGTACTGTGAGTGTGATGTGAAGCTGAAAAAATGTACATCAAGTCAAGCTTCTACTGCAGTCTACTTCTGGTTTTAATAAAGAAATAACTGTTTAATTGCATGCAGAACTTTTACGTAGAGAAGTTGAAGACCTAGGGTAAGTGTTATCTCCTTTTTGAATTTTGGTATAGAAGTTTGAATATGCACGAATTATTTGATTATGAGGAAAAATTGATTTTTGTGAAATACTTTGTCTTGTTTCTCTGAATGCACGAAGAATTTAATGACATACCTTTTTCTGACTGTAACTAACCCTTTTCAGAAATTGCTGAACTCGGAAACACTGTTGTTTTTTTTTTCTCAAGCCAGCCTACTGGTATTCTCTGACTACCTTTTCCCCTCCTCAGCTTCTCTTCTATTTCTTTCAGTTTGCCTTCTCAGGGCCTTGGCTTTCATTTCCTGCACCAGTCACCAGGAAAACACATCACAAAATGTAGCTTGGCTTCCTGTCAAGCCTTGCTGTGTGCTTTTATTTCAGTACTACTCCTCTAATTTCAGCTACCTGACTACATAAAAGAATGAATAGAGTAATTAGTTTTTAAATTAATGGTTTAAATGATTGTTACAGCTCTAGAATCAAGAACTTAAAACCTTAAATTTTTAAATAGTTTTGTTCCTCAGAAAAACAAATGGGAGATTTTCTGCTGGTTATTTTCTAGCTAATTTTTCTGTATTGCGAGTCAAGTATGTAATTATTAAATAGAATGTGAACAAATAGGTATAAATTATTTCATTTGAAATGAAGGTATAAATACCTCAAGATTTTGAAAACAATGTAAGTCTCGCTACATTTTTAATATGTGGTGTTTATATGAAAGTATTTATGTAAAAGTTTACATTTTACTATTTCTTGTTTTGACATTAACTATGTTTTTAGTTACAATCCGTGCACACCACCTTCCCCTAAAAAACCTAACTCAGCTTAAGTTATAGGAGGCAGTTACTGTGATTATAAGATTTTTATCTGTCAACGCAATTTTGGTTTGACACCTTCTTTGCCCCTTTAACCTTTCCCGAAGCATACGATTACTGATTAAACCGCAAGTGCCTCATGGATAGCATTAACCTCAGGAGTTTCATCTGTCACTTGTAGAAGTGCATTAATTACTTCTAGTATTTTGAATGAAAACAAGATAGATAGTCATGCACAGTAGTCTTATTTTGAAATTCTGCCTGTCCTTCCCTTCCAACTTTATTTTTCTTTTTTTTGTTTTGTATTTCAATACAAAATAGTAATTTCCCTGAAACACTGTGTAACCTATCAGTTCCCTGATCACTGATTTGTATGATCTACAGACCTAACGGTGTGTACTTTTGAAGTTATGTTTTGTTTATAATGTGTACCTGTCTATTTTGGTGGCAAGTTTATTACACAGCACTCTCGTTTTAAGATTTTTTTTTTTTTGTCAGTTAGAATTAGACATATGGTTCACAGAGAGCTGAATACTCAGTGATCAGAAATTATTTACCTCTATGTATCTGCGAAGTTTCAAAAGTAAGCTGTGATCACCTACTTCTGTAGAACCAATAGATTTTCTATGACATTCTCTTTGCACTTAGTTAGAATTAAATGGAACTGTTCCAGAAAGTGGTTCATATAAATGCTGTCACTTCAGTATATTATTCATATACATACAATATATACAAATGAGTTTGTTTTTTTTTCCTTTTTGAAAAGGTAGGCTGTTGTTACTTCTAAAGGTTTTTGGTCTTGATATTTTTTATCTGAGGTCATGGTTTTTTACACTTCTTAATAGTGTTCATCTGAACTGGATAGTGTAGAATTGAAAGGACAAAAAAGCGTGTTAACTGCGTATTAAATAAAACATACCCTGACAGCAGGCTGTATGCTGGCTTTTTGGAAGAAAAAAAGTCTTTTTCAGGATTTATTAAAAAGGTTGTAACTTCAGTTCCATCTGAAGATTTGAGTAGATTTTATAAGCTAGTATCTTTCTGTACTTTTATTTTCCTTTTTTTTTTTTTTTTTTTCCTTCTCAGAAATGTTAAACAAAACACCAAGGGAAGCAGAGGCTATAAATGCTCTCACCATCGACTTCTGTTGGCCTTTTAGGGACAGAGTTAGTTCTTCTGCTGAGTATATGGGCCTATAAAGGCCTGCAGAGCATTAGGCCAGCTCTGTGTCAAATTCAGCATAGTCTTGGTTTATTCGGGGACCTTTTCTTCACCAGTGCTTACGAGCAAGAACATTTTATAGAGTATGATTTAAACATAAGGGAAAACCCCGCTATCTTGCCTTCCTTTTCCCTGAAGCTCACTTCCCCTATTTAAAAGACTGTTTTGAATGAGTACGGTAAAGGAGGGAGGGAAAAGGGATTGTTCCCCTGGAGGTTGAAAGATGACTAGGTTCCCCTCAGGCAACCAGAAATAAAACATGCTTTCTTCTGGTTGGTTTAAAAGTAAGATTTGCCTTGAAGTTGTGAAGCACACTATGCGAGGCTGCTTAACCACAAAGCCTCAGCTATTCAGAAGCTGACATATCTTACATCTCTTTGACAAAGTGGGTAGGTCAACTCTGCAGCAGCTGCAGCTCCCACTGCCCAGCCTGACGGGCTGAGCTTGTCTTGTCATTTATGTTAGTACGGACAGATTGTGTCACTGAGGAAGATGGTATAACAAGAATTTGGAATTGTCAGATTTTCCTGTGGTTTTGGGTCATAGTTCTCTACAGGTGTGTGTAGTTTGTTACTGTAACAGAAAGGTAGGAGTTTATTAGATTTATGCAAGGAAATAGGTTGATTTGCATCCAGGCAGATGAGTTAAAAGAGAAAGGGATGGGATTTATCTTGCATTGAGTAGGTGTATGATCTGCATTGGATAAGAGCTTGAAACCACTTGAAAAATAATACCATTGAGAAGGATCGTCGTGGAAGAAGTCAGTCCACTGCTTACACAGATTTTGGTTTCTGTGGCATAACTTGATCATGAATACAAGGACAACATATCAAATGGACAGCTCTGCAATTGCAGATGTGTTAAATTGTGTAAAACCAAGGTAAAACTGATGGCAATGGCTGTGCATTTCCTGGCTTTCCTATTTGTCACAGTTTTAACCAGGTGGGTTATGGAGTACTGTGCTGTCTAAGAAGTATGTGCTGTCCAGATTCACCGAATGAATTAAACTGTAATCCTACAATTTTATCTTGGAACTTCTTCATTTTTGTAGGTTAAGTGGTCTCAGAATCCATTTAATCTTGATGCTTATTTTGTCAGACTGTTCATTTGTATAATGGTTAGCAAGATGTATAATGTTTAGTGCTTGTGTCAAAGCAATGACGACACTGTCAAAGTGAATGATTTGTTAGAAAAAAGAGTTAAATTCTGCAAACTAAATATGTTAAAGGGGTGAGGGTATTTTTTACAAGTCATATGTAACAGGAAAACTTAAGCTTCTGAAATTTGCATAATTTAACTGAAGAATTTCCATGAAGTATGTTTAGAGAAATGTAGTCATACTGTTTGATAGCTGATGAGTAGCCTGTATACAGTGAATGTGTGATTTCGGTCTACCTCATTACCCTACATCTATATCAGAGAAACGATAACTGTACTTTAATTGGTACACTAGTTGCCATTCTGAGCACAAAGGTTATAGATCTTTTGGATGCAGAGACTAAACCACTCTTTTATCTCTGTGGTGGTCCTTCTAAAAATGGTCTGAGACATAATGATTAAAGAAGTTTTCATTCTCGCTGCCCATGCTTTACCTCATCAGTGAATGGAAGGAAGGGTCAGTCTAGTTTATGACAATACAAGTGAGTGTGATTCTCATCGCTGTTCTAGCCCGTGTACCAGCAGCTAGCATTTCAAGGGCCCATATCTGTATTTTCTTCACAGCACACCTTTTCCTTGATGGTTTGGGATGGATATCTTTGTGATAAACTGTAGAAAGTTTAGAACAGCACAGCTGCCATTGGCACCTGGGGTTAAGTTGCCACAGAAGTTTGGAGGTAGTCTGGACACCTTCAGAGAGTCCCAGGCTCGAGAGATACAAAGTTAATGGAAAGGTTCCTACGTTGTGCTGTGCTTGGAGGCAAGGCAGAATATTACCCTGTTTGCTCTGCATTAAACAGGAATAATGTTTGTTTAAACATGTTAAACCAGTCGTGGTATATTTATGTGTTCGATTTGCATTGTTATATTTCCTGTATGCTTATAAGTCTGTGATCACAGGATTTGAAACAAAAGTAGCTGATAAAAAAATTTATTATGTTCAGTTGTTTGGTGTAATTTGTTGTTATTTATAAAACTTCTTGTAGTTTCTGGGAATCAGCAAGACCTTTCTTCAGTAAAGAGTGAAGATTTTGGAAATGTTCAAGAAATGTCTACAAAAAGCCTCATTGTCGGCCCACTCAATCTTCGATTGGATAGCAGTGCAGTACACCGGATAATGAAAATGATAGTTTGTGCTCTGGAACATGAATATGAGCCATACAGCAGAACTAAGCCAGGTTTGCTCCTATTGCATATATGCAAATATACAGAATTAAACCAGACCAAATTCAGTGTTCTCGAAGGTGCAAATTCTAAATAGTTAAACTCCAAATCTGTCAGGGGATTTTATGAGTCCAAACAGAAAAATTTAAAACAAAGATAAAATGAATCACAATATCCTCATCAGTGTTGGATATACCTCTGAGATAATTTCAGACACTTTGGAGGCCATTTGTTTCAATCACAAGCCTCTTGTTGAGTGAGGAGGGCTTATTTTATTGACAACTCTAGCTTAATTTTTGAGTCTTACAGAAGAAAGTATCCCTCTTGGTATGTATTTATTAGTTTGAAATAATAGTTATACAGGATAAAAATACATGGAAACTGTCAAGAAGAGTTTCTGAGAAAGGAGAGTTTCTGAGAAAGAGCTATACAGATTACAAAGTAAGGAAAATCCAGTTATGATTGCATTTAGCCTTGGGTAGAACGAGTGTGGAATAAAATTATTAACTATGAAGGGGGTGGTGGAAATGCTTTCCGTTTTTTGCTAGTCCCTAACCATTTCTGAAACAGCGACTGTAGGAGTTATTTTATATATTTTAGTCAAAACATACGTAATCTTGATTTATTGTAGATATTATGGATGGAAATAGGACTATGCCAAGCTCAGAAGAAGTAGCACTATTGGAGGAGTACATTCCCACTCGACTTACGACGTTCACTGTTCTTAAGTGTACAATTATAATCCCTGTGGCAGAATTCAATTTACTAGACCACCTGATGCCCATAATCATGGGCGAGAAGGTATGTCCACACAGATATTTATTCATTTTTTTATATCAGCATGCGCTGTTTCATATAAATTTTCTCACTGGGCTGTTATTCCATGTGCCGGATGTATTACTGAGTTGCAAATGAGTTTGATGTCCATGAGTGTTTCCTTCAGATACCTAAGATGAGTGGTGTGTGCAGTGACTAGCTAGGCTTGTAAACTGAAGGTGTCATGTACTGGTAGGAAAAAAGAATTTGGAAGAAAAAAGATTTCAAATCATCAAGCAGATTAGAAAGAAGTAGCTCTGACTTGAAGTTTTTTATAGAAACCTTTCGATCAGAAGAGTACCTGTTGTCATTTTGCCATGCAGGTCTTCCCAAACTTGGTCAAGTCTGAAATCTTTGAATACATAGGCTCAGTAGAGACTTCATAGATGTTAACAGCCAGCTCTGCGTGTGCTAGTTCCAGCCAGGATGCCAGCGGGACTTTGGCCATTACTGAGCATTTAACTGCTGAGTAACTAGCTCAGAGAGCCAGAAATGAAATTTCCTAACAGCCTTAATTTGTTTTATCTTCTGGATACACGTAGTTTAACTCCAGCTAAAGAAACCTGTACTGGTTTTATTCCTACAGGACTCCTTCCTCAGTGCACAAAGCTGAGGTACTGTAGGAATGAATCAGTGTTTTATAGTGAAGACTTGCAATAGGTTTACCTCTTGCGGCAGAGGCTGGAAGATATTTTATGGGTAAGGGAAGGGATGGGAAGAAGAGGCAAAAAAAAAAATCAGTTCTTGATTGAGTTCAATTTCTAGGAATTTTCATCTGATATTAAACACTTCCAATGTGTTTTTCACAAGTGGACACTAAATATGTGTTGCTTGTACTTGAGGACAAGCTTTTTTAGTGGGATGTATTTTGTAGAAGTTCTCTGTATCTGTGGTTCCAATTAAAGCAATGGGAGTTAGGCTTTTATTTGTGAAGTACTTTGCTATGCTAAACATTCAAAAATTGGCATTCAAACTGACTTCCAGAATTAGTGAATTATTTTTGTATCAGCCTTTCTTTTCAATGATAATTTCTTGTTGCCGTGGTTTAACCCATTTTCAATGATAATTTCATTTTTGCCGTGTTTTACCCCCAGCCAGTAACTAAACACCACACAGCCGCTTGCTCACTCCCCCCGACCTCCGGTGGGATGGGGGAGAGAATCAGGAGGGTAAAAGTGAGAAAACTCTTGGGTTGAGATAAAGACAGTTTAATAATTGAAATAAAATAAAGTAAAATAGTAGTAGTAATAACAATAATAATAATAATAGAATATACAAAGCAAGTGATGCACAATACAATTGCCCACCACCAGCCGACTGATGCTGACCCAGTCCCCGAGCAGCGATCGGTGCTCCCCAGCCCCCTCCCCCAGTTTATACATTGAGCATGGTGTCATATGGTATGGAACACCCCGCTGGCCAGTTTAGGTTAGCTGTCCTGGCTATGCTCCCTCCCAGCTTTTTGTGCACCTGGCAGAGCGTGGGAAGCTGAAAAGTCCTTGACTAGTGTAAGCACTGCTTAAAACATCGATGTGTTATGAATATTATTCTCATACTAAATCCAAAACACAGCACGATACCAACTACGAGGAAGAAAATTAACTCTATCCCAGCTGAAACCAGGACGCTTGTCTAAAATGGAGATGAAGTTGTGTATTCTGAAGGTGTTGTGAAAGTTACTGTATTAGTATTTGTGAAGTATTTATATGTAAGAAAGGTAAAAACCATTTGAAAAAGTTTATTACCTCCCCCTGCCTCCCCAAGATGGATTTGAGTGGTATTACATGATGGAAGGCACAATGACATTAAATTATCTTTATAACATAATAGATACCTGCTGACTAGGGGAGCAGTGTCTAACTTGTGCTGTATTTTCTTATAGAATGTGCTTATTTACCGCATGTTTATGTGGTTTAAGATTGTACGTATATGCACAAGAGGACAGAGTACTGAAAGTCTTAACTTACGACATTTCTTATAGTGTGCTTGTATAACCATTTTCGTTGGTGAAGTGAAATACACACAGTAACATACACGTTAATACTTCACTTGGATCACTAGTCTCTAGACTGCAACATACATAAAATTTCAAGTACATGCCATTTATTCGGTGAGTGTGCTTAGAGGGTGTGTATCTTTTTCTTAAATTTAGACTGCTTATCTTTTCTGGACTGCTTATCTTATCTAAGCTGGCTGGAGTGAGTGAACTGGTGACAATTCTGTTACCTCTTGATGTATTAGGATACATTCAGAAGCTTCTAATATTAGAAAATGGGACATTACCAGGTGCCTAATGGGAAGCATTATTTCCTTTCAGCCCGGAATAGCCCAATGGATTGTGGTGCTTTTCACCTTGTGGGCATGCACAAATGGTATTTTTATAATGGGAGAACAGCCCCATATTTATTTTAGGTGTGAGGCAAACAAGTTGAATTCAAATGAACTTTTTGATGGTTTTTTTGTTTGTTTGTTTGTTTGTTTTACTTGGAGGTTCAATTTATGTTTCCTGAGTGAAGCCAAGTCTATTTAAAATAATTTGACTTTTAGATTGAAAGTCATATGTGCATCAACTTATTGTCCTGTTTTGATACAAGTTTAATAAAATTTTTAGATTCATAGAGTAATTTGGATTGGAAGATATCTCTGGAGATGATATCCAGGAGTCCAACATCCCACTCAAAGCAAGCCCAAGCAGATTGCTCCAGAGGTTGTCCAGTCAAATGCTGAATTAGTTCCAAGGATAGAGATTCCATAAAAAGCTTTCCCATAGACCTGCTTGGAATTGCCTGTGTTTCAGCTTCTGTCCGTTGCCACTTGTCCCCTCATGGTACACCTTTGACAAGAGTCTGGCTCCCTCTTCTCTGTACCCTCCCAGTAGGTAGCTGTAGGCAGCAGTAGGATCTCCCTTTGACCTTCTCCAGGCTGAAAAACTCCAGTTGTCTCAGTCTTTACCGAGAGAGAGCTCACGTGCTCCAACCCCCTAACCACTTCAGCAGCCCTCCAACAAACTTGTTCTGGTATGTCCATGTCTTTCTTGTACTGGATACAGTACTTCACTTTAATGGATACTATGAAAAATATAGTTGGATGTGTAAAATTGCCATTTTTTTTTTTTTGGAATGGCATCTTTTTTTGCTGAGATGTCTGGCATGACTGTAAATACGTAATAATGTATGACAGTGTAAAGGTTAGATCAGCATGAGTTTAGTATGGTGATAGCACTTTGGAGTGATAAAAATGTAAGCAAATATTTTACAGAACAAAATATCTTGAATTTGCATATTCTTGTAATGGGTGGACCTTGGCCAGCTGCCAGATGCTCACCCAACCACTCTCTCACTCCCCTTCCTCAACAGGACATGGGGGAGAGAATAGGATGGGTTGAGATAAAGAAGGGGAGATCACTTACCATTATGAGCAAAACAGACTCGACTTGGGGAAAATTAATTTAAATTATTGCCAATTAAGATATATTTGGATAGTGAGAAACAAAGACAAGAATCAAAATAACACCTTTCCCCCATCCCCCCTTTTTTCCTGGGGCAAGGAGGGGGGAAGGTGTTATTTTTCCAAGGCTCAACTTCACTCCTTCATTCCCTGACTCTTCTGCCTTCCACCCAGCAACACAGCGGGGTGGGGAATGGGGGTTGCGGTCAGTCCATAACAGTTCATCTCTGCCATTCCCTCTTCCTCACACTTTTCCCCTGCTCCAGTGGGAGTCCTTTCCACAGTCCTTGAGGAAAAATCTGCTCCAGTGTGGGCTCTCCAGAAGGCTGCAGTGTCCTTCCAGGCATATCCACCCACTCCAGTGTGGGGTCCTCCATGGGCTGCAGTGTGGATATCTGCTCTGATATGGTCTTTTCCACAGGCTTCAGGGAAATACCTGCTCCACCGTGATCTCCTCCATGGGCTGCAGGGGAACATCTGCTCCGGTGCCTGGAGCACCACCTCCTCCCCCTCTTTCTTCTCTGACCTTGCTGTTCGTATTGCTATTTCTCACTTTTTTTCCCTCAGTCCTCTCAGCCTGTGTGGCGTTTTTGCCCTTTCTTAAATATGTTTCCACAGAGGTGTCACAGCTTGGCCAATGAGCTCAGCCTTGTCCTGCAGTGGGGCTGTTGCAGCACTGGCTGGAACCAGCTGTATCCAACATGGGGCAGCCCCTGGTGTCCCCTCACAGAGGCCACCCCTGCAGCCCCCCGCTGCCAGCACCTGGGCACCTACACCCAAGACAATTATGTATAAAAAGTTTATACATAAATTTTAAACTTTTAAGAACTTGCTTTGAAAAGATTTGAGGATTCGTATTACAATGACCATAAGGCCATGGTATCTGTAAACAGTTTATTACATGTAGATTTGCTTGTGTGTGTGTGGAGGTAAGAATATGTAAATATGGTAGATAATACATCTGTAGTGTAATAATTGCATAGTTTTTTCCCCCCTCCCTTAGAACTTAAGTGGACTGTTAAATGCTGCAAGCTTCCAACCCCTGCGGCCTTTGCCTTCCATCCGAATTTTGGTGGATAAGGTTAACCTGGAGCACTCGGTGCCAATGTATGCCGAGCAACTGGTGCACATAGTCAGCAGCCTCAGCCAGCCGTCCGACAACCTGCTTCATTACTGTTACTCACACTGCTATCTGAAGGTAAAAGAAGGCTTGAGATCTGTTTCTTATTGCAATATGCTGAGAAAAAGTTAACATAAGTATAGATAATCATAAGTGTTAGCAGGTTTCTTGGGACAAAGTTTTCAGCTTATCTGAAAGGATGTAGAGTAAACACATTTCACAGAACGTTGTCGTTTGGGATTGTTGCTTCTGACCTGAGCCAAATGTTTTGTAATATGAACAGAGAACTTCACATGAGGAAACTACACAGACTGAAGCCCCAAGGTCTTTGTGGCAAGACCGAGTTAAAATAATTTGGAGAGAAACCTTTCCCCCCTTCTAGGATAATGCTCACAGAATATGTAGATCGCAGTGCATTACACTTAGAAACCTGATGGGATGTTGTGAGGAAAAACCATCACTTCTAGTATTATTGATAGAGCAAAACCATGATAGTGAAGGTATGCAATCAAAAACTGTTGCCAATCAATTTCATTTGTTGTCATTATAAGAGGAAAAACCTCTGAATGTTCTCAGTTAGAGATCCATTACATGAGAGGATTTCTTACTGTGAGGTTGGGGGAAGTTTAAGAAGCTACTGAAAAACTGCTTTGAGATTATTCAATTGCCATCTGCTGAAATTTTAGTAGAGTGAAAAAGTGAAATGAGCGGTTTTAAAACAGGCCTTCCATCTTTAGGAAGGTTGTGATGTGCTCAGGCAGTTTAAAACCTTCTGGGTGCTACTAAAATGTAAATAGCTACTACTAGTAGTGTTAATTTTGCTAAATTTTTCAGTTATCCATTCACTTCCATGCTGATATCTTAATAGAGATTAAAACAATGAAATTCTTACTTTCTGCTTAATAGAAAGTTTGTGCCAGAATTGCATGGAAAGCTTTCTCGTTTCTGGGTGACGTGTTTACCTTCTGTCACGTTTAAAGTGATTGGAATGGTAATATTGCAAGTCATCTGTATGTTTTTCAGTTTGAGGGGATTTTTTTCTATTCAAAAGGTTTTTAGCAGCTGTTTGATCAGTGTTTGAAAAATGTGGACTGCAATTTTGAGTTTTATAGGGTTTATTTGCTAGCTTTAATATAGGCCAAAGTGTTCTGTTCTTATGTGAATGGTTGTACAGTATGTTAAAAAGTCAACTCTACAACCATTTGTTTTCCGTATTGAACGGGGAAAAAATCATGAAGGATAGTTATGATGAACCTTTCTTTAGATGCTCTTATTAAGAAAAAAAGCTTTGAATTTCCTTAAATACCACTTTTTTTAGACCAATGTTATTATAATTACAAAAAGTGATTTTATTTATTTTATATGAAAGGCAATGTGCAATCTGCAAATTTAAAGGATATAGAATACTGTATTTTAGTTGATAAATTATAATTCAGCATTTTTTTTAAATTCAGTAGAGCATAGTTAACACTTATTTTTTGAGCGAAGAAAATATTTTTATATGTATTCCTATTGGGACATTATTTTAGGTAGATTTTTCTAGTTATATTTGTGTTTGGGGGAAAAGGAATTATCTAAAAATAATACACAATTTATTTCATATTTATTGAATATATTTAAAAATTTGTATATTATGTTATAAAAGTAACTTGAAAGTGATCTAATCATGTGACAGTATACCCTTTGACCAGCTTGATTCGTTTCAGATATTTGGTTTTCAAGCAGCACTGACTTCTTTGGACAGTAAAGGATTGTACTGTTTCCCTGTTCCAGTTATCCCTTCATTCAGTACCGCTGTTTATGGCAAGCTGATCAAGTTTCCAAAATATTGGTGAGCATTAAGCATGTACAGTGTATTTAAGTAGTGTATACAACTACTTTTGCGTTTCTAATGAATGATTTAAAAATGCCAAGCTCCATGTATATCCCTAAACTTCTCTGTCTCTTCTGTCATATTCTATTAAGTCTGTTATCATTAATAAATTTCTTTGTAAGGATAGCTGTTAATAAACATTTTAGACCCTTGTTTGGTTGAGAGAACAGGCTACGCAAGCCCTGTAGTAAATGGCTTTCTTCTAGACCTTGTAGAATTCTGTGAACCAGTTCCCATTCTTCCTTGAGTGGATAGAAAAGCTGAAATTATTTACTGATGGCAAGCTTGATGTGTTTAACTGAACAGGTCAGCTCTTTCTGTTTTAAACTCAATCAAATAAAAAGCAACAAATGGGGGGGAAACCAAACACCCCAGCCCCAGAAAAAGATAGTCTCTACTGGACTTTTATTTCTGTTACTCATTACAGTTGGAAGTGTTTTAACATTGTGATCAGGTATTAAGCTGTTTGTAGTAGTTCAGATTTTAAATGAAAACACTCTTGTTCTGAAAACAATTCTGTGCTTTATTATAAAATGAGCTATATAAAAAAAATTTTTTTCAACTTAATGCCATGGAAATTCAGTATTTAAATTTAGCTCTAGAGGTTAAATCTTGTGATCATGAATGTCAGTGTGTAATAGTTATTATTAATAAATTGTATTTATAAAAACTATTTTCAAGAATAGTTTTGGCAATACTTTGGGCAGGACATTAGTTTTCTTTGTCCCTCATTTTGAGCAGTAACTGTCTGTAATACTACTTTATGACTAAATCCATAAAAAGAATCTTACATAAAATGACAAGATAACAGGAAAACAGGTTAATGTGTTAAATACTTGGGCTTCAAACATGCTGTGATGTATAGCTAATTTGTAACAGTCATTTCTTTGTGAAAGTTTAATGAATTATAAAAAAAAAAGAGACTACATCTATGATTGTTCATAGCACTACATAGAGAATATACTGATTTTTCTCTCAAGCTGTGATACCATGTTAAATATAAGAGGTTTTTAGCACAATCAGCACACCACCAGGTGGTAGCAGCCTAATTGACTTTCTCATATTTTCCATCAATAATGTACAAAAGTACTAACCACTTCAAGTGAATTGCTGTTCTGTTGCGGCGTTTTGCTAAAAAATAATAAATGTTACCAGGATAACCCATGATCGGCACTAATCAGAGTGCTTCAGTACTCTGGTAGGATTGACAGTCTTTCCTGACATGACCTGACATTTAACACTAAGTTCTGGTTAGTGATCCTTGTTAGTAAACTGTGGAAATAAAGTAGCATTTAATGGTAAACTTAAATTTATTTAGTACATTATAAAACCCATGGTTAGTTGTGCGAAACAAAATAAATATTTTAGAGCTGAAAAATGGTTGAAAAAATCTGTCATCTGACAAGTTCATGGTATTCAAGTGCTAGTGCTTTCTCATGAGTGCACTTGTGCTCTCTTTTGTGTGTGCTTGTGCTCAAGGTGCTCGATCTCTTGTGCTTTTCCCCATGCGCTATTGCACGCTTGCTGTCACTCTCTGTCTCATGTGTGCACGGTCTCACACTTGCATTCTCTCTTGCTCTATGCGCTCTCTGTCATGCTTTCTATCTTACTCACTTTCGTTCTCTCTCTCTTTCAAAAATACATTGTATTACAGTGCGTGCCCAGCTGGAAAATAGAGTATGGTAGACTAATAACATAGAAAAATAAAAACGAGCAGTAGTTTTGGGGAGTGGAGGCAGGGGAATGGTTCTGCCTTAAAATAGCAAATCATCTATCAGCATTTATTAGTAGATCTTGTAAGACCAACACTTGTGGTCTGGTGTATTTTAAAATAATTTTAATAGCTTTCTCATTTTGTGATATGATATCTTTCTAAAACTTATATATTTATTAACAGTGTGAAATAATTATATAAAATTAACTTATTCCAACAATTTATCTAAACTAAGCAACACCAATTTGCGGGTAATAAAGTAGAAAAACAAATGAGTACAGCAGCAGCCTGGTTAAATGAAGTGTAGTTTGAAGTGAATAAAACTCCAGATGAAACACATCAAATAGCACTTGAACTAAATCGAAATCAGCATGAGGACTGAGAGCTTCATTGAAGTCATGCAGTGAGTGAGAATTAGTCTTGTAGGATAACCTGGTAATGTCATTAAACTTAAATTCAGTCCTCCCCCCCAAATTATACCACCTGCTTTATTTGGATTTTTAGATTTCACATTCCAGAGTTTCTTAAAGTACACGCGTCTGATGCTACATGTGTTCTTCTGTTTCTTCGTAGAAAATATATACCACAGACCATACCTTTTAAAAACAAAGACATTTTATGAACTGTTATGGAATCCCTCAGGTAGTATGTTTTTAGTTAGCAGTGAAAATCTCAACTTTATTTCTGACATAAATCAATAGAATAGCTTACTTTTCTAGTTTCAATATAATAATCTCAAAATGTATTCGGTGTATTAAATGCTGTAGTAATTAATATTTATTTTTTAGAACTAGTTGATAAACATTGGTAGCATGTTTTAACAGATAAAATTTCAGCAACATCAGCCCAAAATTCCAGTAAATAACCATAAAAGTTACAAAAGTGCTATTTTGTTTTACCTACTAGATTGATGTCTGTTTTAATTTCAATTAATACACTTTCTTCTTCTAAAAGAAATATGCTCAAGCTCACTAGTTAACTAAGTCTTTGACATCTTTTAAATTGTATAGCTAATCTATTTTTATATTAAAGTAAAAACATCTGGTCTTTTGTTTTTGTCAAGCATAATAAGATGCAAAATACAATGTTAATGTCAATGTTTTACAACTACTTTATGTAGTATTGCATGCCAGATTGTAAAGCAGCTTTCAAAGCTTTCGGGAGGATGTCTAAAAACAACTGAGAATTAGCAGAATATGGTCAAAAGCGTAGAATGAAGGACAAGAATGTTTATTGCCAACCAGAAATCTTGAGAGGAATTAGCTGATTTCTTTTTCTTTTTTTCTTTTGGCTACAATGTCTGTGGTAATAGATGAGGTAATTAAGTGTAAGACACTAGTGTTATAACCCTCTATCACTTACACAAGATCACTTCATTGTACTTCTGAAGAATATTGAAGTAACGTTAAAGAATATAGATTCTGAATAGCCTTCCTTTATTTTTCTGATATCTGGATTGATAATGAAGTGTGTCATCTGTATGTTTTGAGCTAGATATTGGTCCAGTTATGTGTGTTATATTATTGCTTTTCTTCTTTTCTTGACCTGTCTTCTCTAAATTCCTTTTCTGTGACAAGTGTTCCAGACTCTCGTTTTCCTTTGTCAGGTCTGTGGGAAGGTTCTCACTTACTGTCTCCACCTGTGACAGCCTTTGGGACTCTAAACACTGGTGGAATGTTATAAATGGGGATGACATGATCTATCCCTGCATCCTTTCTACTCAGCTTCTTGGTCCAGCAGTCTTATTTTCAAGGGGTCTGTTTCCTTCATAGTGAGTCTCTTCTTTCTCATTTTGAGACCAGAGCAATAGCTGCTGGTTTGCAGTCTGCAAGGAAGCACCAGTACAGACTTGACTAATAGATGGTCATGTTAAATTTGAGTGTGTGAATGAACTTTTTGTGAACAAGTTGAGGACTTGCTGGGTAAATTAGTATCTAGGATTTCATGGCCTGTACTTTAATTATTGGAGAGTACAGAGCAGTTAATAGATTGTTCTTGAATTGTTATTCTATTAGAACAAAAATCTGGAAAGAAACTTGCAAGTAGATGTAGATAATTACTGGTAAACAAACAAAAAAAGTCTTTGAGAGACTAAATGGATATAATTTTTGCAAAGATTCTTTCTTTTGAACTGTTTTCTGCAGATACTGTCTTAGGAAATAAATTTCAGCTTAAACATAGGCAGTGTGCCAATCTTGGGCAAGCAGTTTCTGATGAGGAAGAATTCTTGACAACATGAGATTTGATTTGTGTTGGCATTGTATCTCTTTCCTTCAGTGTTTTTATTGAAGAGATATCCATTATTGACAAAAGCTGACAAAAGTTTAAAATTTGCTCTGCTGTTAAAGAAAGTAACATGTATGATATGCTGGGCACCTCAGCTGCCCAGACGTACAATGTCACTTGTTTCACTTGTGAAAGCTATGAATTACAGTCCTGACATAGTTATTTTATTAATATGTGCCCTCACAGTACTGAAAGATCACTATAGAAATCTGGATAGAGATCCTCACATGGAATATATATGTGCAGTTTCTGTAGGCTTTGTTTTTATGAACCCTTAAGAACATTTATATAATATAGCTGTTCTTAATGTTTCAACACAGGTTTAACTGTAAAGGTAAATATTTACTATGTCTCTAGAATCTGTTACGTTTACATTAGATTGGCACCTTAGGTCGTAACCTCCTTTTGGCTAACTGTTATACAAGGATATTGAGAAACATACTTTGCCAGCGATCTGAACATCAGCATTTTGTATTTTCTTACCTGACTTCCTAGCTTTTAGTTTGACTTTGTCACTATGTAGTTGCCAAATGGTTCCTTTGTACACATAATTTAGTTTAACTTTTTTAATTTATAGCTTTAATATTAACATTAGAAAAACTGAGGATTCTAAAGACCTTGTGTTATGACTGTTTAGATTTGTGCTCAAACCTTTGTTACTCTATTTGTATTTTTGTATAGCTTTACTTCCATTTTCTTCCATCATGTATCCCTTACAAGGCAAACAACCCTCTCTTAATCAAAGCCACGTAGTAGTATGCCATATAACTGTATTCTTACTGACAGAATTCATCGTTAGACTCCTTACACGATCCAGTAAGATCATTATAAGCTCCCGTATGAGTCATGAAGTACACCTGCTCATGCCTGCTTTGTAGGTCATCTTGAAAATCCTGTGTGCATTTAATGGTATCACAATGAATTGACCAGAGTGAGAGCAATTCATGTTGATCCACAA